TTTAAGATTATAAAAACTTCCTCTTTAATCAAGGCTTATAACATGAACAGATTTTTTGAATAAAATGGAAAGTTTCCAGTACACTGAAACATAAATCCACAAGTCACCATACATACAACACCTGGCAGAAAAAAAACCAAAAGAAGTTTACACAATCCCTGTAACAGCCATGGTCTCAATCTCAGATGCTTCCTCCATCTGCCAAATGTGTTCTAGACACACAGCACACTTGCTTCTGAGGTCACAATCAGCTGAGGCTGTGGGTCTACAGAGCACTCATCTGGCTGGGCTATGGTAGTGGTGGCTCTCCTTAAGAAGCAAAGCAGTTACCAGCACATTCAAACAGTGTATTGAACATCTTTTAAATATCAAAGTGAGAAACAAGAAGGCAACACAATAATGTAATCAGAAAGATGTTAGCAAGTAAGGACAGCTGTGTAAAGCTTGAGGCTGAAAATGGCTTGCCAGCTTCATTTCTTCGGCTTCTTGGATAGTAGGCGCCAGAACAGTAAGATGTGAGGTTCTGGTTCACGGATCATATAATGGACTCAACCCTGACTCTGCTGAACACCAAGATTCCTCCATTCAGATTCAGACATCAAATGGGTTTTAGGGACCACCTTGGCTATGTCCTTGGGCAACATGACATGCCAATACTCAAACTCCTCATCGTTGAATTTGTCCGAATAGTAAATTTGTTTGTGCAACATGATCACTCCGTCTGCTAGCCTTCAGCCCCGCACCGCCAACCTCCAAGCAACTCCCAGCAGCACCAATTTTTGTATTTTTAATAGAGACGCGGTTTCACCATGATGGTCAGGCTGGTCTCAAACTCCTGACCTCATGTGATCCACCAGCCTCAGCCTCCCAAAGTGCTGTGATTACAGGTGTGAGCCACCACGCCCAGCCTGGTGCAGAACATTTCTTGGGCTTAGTTTCCCACCCTCTAATTAGCAAATAGAGGCTTTTTTTTTTTGAGACCGAATTTTGCTCTTGTTGCCCAGGCTGAACTGCAGCGGCACGATATTGGCTCACTGCAACCTCCGCCTCCTGGGTTCAAGTGATTCTTCCACCTCAGCCTTTGAGTAGCTGAAATTACAGGTGCCCACCACCACACTTGGCTAATTTTTTTTGTGTTTTTATTATTTAGTAGAGACGGGGTTTCACCATGTTGGCCAGGTGAAATCAGCCAGGCATGGTGGCAGGCATCTGTAATCCCAGCTACTCGGGAAGCTGAGGCGGAAGAATAGCTTGAACCGGGGAGATGGAGGCTGCAATAAGCCAAGATCATGCCACTGCACTCCAGCCTGGGTGGGTGGAAGAATCGCTTGAACCCAGGAGGTGGAGGTTGCAGTAAGCCGAGATTGTGCCATTGCACTTCAGCCTGGGCGACAGAGCAAGGCTCCATCTA